GAATATTTTATTAACTGTCTTCAGGGCAGGAATACATGATTGGTTGCATTTTGAAAAATCATTCTTGTGAATTTCCCAAGTCTTACTTTTTGTTAGCCTGTTGCCAAAGCTTGGGTCCCTGCCAGTTTATAAGCAGAACACATCTTCATCCACATATATTTACATGCCCGGCAGGAGACTCTCCCACCCCTTTTTCCTTTCCCTTTCCCTTTCCTTTTCAAAGCTATTTGATTCAGTGTTTTAGCATACCCCCCCCCAAAAAGAACCATTTTCTTCAATGTAAACAGAGATCTACAGGGAAATAAGAGTGTTAAAAAAGAATTAGCATTTGTTTGGTGGTGAAGCTATTTTCATTTGTATCAGAAAACTCTGCGTGTTTAGGAGGACTTGCCTAATCTTAGTTTTTCTATACATAAGCGTTCTAATGGCATAATTTTCTATTTTTTATTGCATCTTTCTATATTTCTTACTGCAAAAAATGAGAAACATTCTAGGAACAATGGAAATAATGGACTTTAGTTCCCCAACCATCAAAAAACCCATAATATACAACCTACCTGGTGCAAATCTCTTTTTCAGTGCACAGTGAGCTGACTGCAGGAGGCAGAGGGTGATAACAGGTGGATTAAACAAAAGGAAATATATATATATATATATATATATATACATTTTTCTCCCTTCAATTAATACTGATGGTAAAAGCTTATTAATTTGTGTTTTATATCTTAGGGATTTATTTAGCTCCTCAGATCAGCTGAAGTTTAGCATCATACTAACAAAACAAAAATGGACTGTTTAGCAAATTAATAGTGTAAATAAGATTGCAGGGGGGATTATTCGGCTACCAGTTTTTCCAGCACTGAAAAACTGTTTTAGCAAACAGCTTCTAACGCAACAAATACATTCTTCTGCATGTTTGATTAGTATCTATCTACTAAGGCAATTAAGATAAAAATCTCATTTTGGTAACAGTACTTTTTAGCAAAATCTTGTCAGTTCATGTAACCAAGGGCCTCTCTCAAATGATGTATTTTTTTTCTCTATAGCATACTGTATTCACCCAGCAATGGTTTTGGTGTTAGCAGACCCATGGTGTATGGCCTAGGATTAAGGTATCCTTTAGGAAATCTACTTAAAGTACCAGAACCTTATATTTCTCTTAGGTCATACCAACAGATGATCTGGCCCTAGATAAATAGTTCTCATTGGGGGTATCAAAATCAACTCAGAAGCTGTTTCAAAATATGCATCACTATTCTCCTCCAACCTCTTCCAAAATTCTGACACGTACCTCTAAGTTAAAAACGTATGGCCTACAGACCCTAACGGAGCTCAAAATTATGTGGCTGAATGTTGTATAATTTATACTTTTCAGAAATTTGAGGCTTTTAAACTAAGTATTGTGCTTACTATGTGAACTCTACTTTAAACAGCAACTGCAGGGGATATACCAGGATGAAAATATATGACTTAAGTTTTCATGGTGTTTGCAATCTAGTAATTCTCTTGGTTTCCATTCAGTTCCACATGAGTGAATTTTACTGCTTTCATACATAGGAGTTGGATGCTGTTTTTACCACTGTGAACTTTTAATGAGTTAAACCTCTTGCTTCAAAAGAAGCACTGGGTTGACCTTAGAGTAGGGTTTTTTCAAAGTGAGGTCCTTCTACCATTCATCAGAATCATCTGGGACAACTTTTAAAAATTTAGTTTCATTATCACTTACAAATTGCCTCCCCATACCTTTCTACTCTAATCCTATTGAAGAGGAATCTTTTGGAGAGGACCCGGGAATCTGAATGTTAAACAAATACTCAAGGTGATCCTCAAGGAATTCAAAGTTTAAGAAACACTGCCAAGATGAATGCCATAAAATAAAGCATAGATCTGAAAAAAATGAGATCAAATGAGGTCAGCTAATATAGGACCAGCTAGAGTTGCATTTTTCAGTTGTGTAGATACATTTAAAGCTAAATGAGAAGAAATAACAGAAATTCTATTTTTTTTATACCTTATCTCCTTTGGTAGAAGTTGCAGTGCTTGAAGGCACTTTTTCATCTGTGGATGAAATAATAAATGAATTTTTGGGAGTGTGGGGATGACTAAGGCTGACTGAGCTACTTTATAGCTTCATTTGTCATAAAAAATTTTTTTTGTAGTTTTGTGAAGAAAACTACATACTTGGCAAATGCTTCCTGTATAAAACAAATGCCCAGTCACTAAACTGTCCATATGGCAACTTAATTCCGGACCTTCTGCTTCTTTTTTCTTCTGGGAAATGTGCTGGGATATTTACACATATATGTAGTTGCATGCATCCTCACACATATACTCAGACTTCTTTGGACTATGACTGGTATTTGGAGTATTGCCTCTTTTCTTTTTAATCCAGCATAGAATTACATCTACTAAAATAAATTAGCATTCCCATTTTAGTTCATTTGGCAAGAACAAATTTTTATGCCAATATATGGGCTGGCCCCCATGACCTTTCCACAGAAAAAAATACCAAGTGCTTTGGGTTTTTGTGTTAATGAGTATTGGGAAACTATCAGCTCTTACTTGTGTTTCTGTTCAAATCAACCATCATTGACCTTCACCTAATGATCTGTGTAACACACACACACACACACACACACACACACACACACACACACCCACGCACGCACACATGCACACACACACATACACACACACATGTGCCAGAAATTAAAAGTGGAGAGACAGAGAAGTGAGGAAAATACAGATAGAGGAAAGGTGTAGGGAAGCAATTTGTAATGTATAATAAGACTAATATTAGCAAAGTCACTTAAAAAGGAAAAGGAAGGCCAAGCGTAGTTGCTCACGTCTATAATCCCAGCACTTTGAGAGGCTAAGGGGGGAGGAACGCTTGAGACCAGGATTATAAGACCAGCCTGGACAATATTGCAAGACCTTGTCTCCACAAAAAAGACTTTAAAAATGAACCAGGCATGGTGGTGTGTGCCTATGGTCCTAGCTACTTGGGACACTGAAGTGGGAGGATCGCTTGAACCCAGGAGTTTGAAGTTGCAGTGAGCTATGATTGTGCTATGGGTGATAGCGACAGCCTGGATGACAGCAAGACTCCATCTCAAAGAAAAAAAAAAAAGGAAAAAGAAAACTGCTGTATACTATATTATATTTCTATAAGATTGGTAAGAAGTATCTTTTGTAGGTGAATTTTCAGTTTGTTTTTGGAAAGGTGTTTAATAACATGACACAGGGGCTCCAGGTTTCTGAGTTTCCATTCTATGGATGATAAACATAAAAATAATCTAGGGTCTTCTGATGAACAGGTATAGACCTGACCCTTTTCTGATACATGTGCTTTCAGCAATTCTGTACCACCCAGGGTGACCAGATGTCTTGGTTTCCCTGGGAGCCGCGCTGTGTTAGCATTGAAATTTCCCATGTCCTAGGAAATCCCTAAGATGGAAATCTATAGTTTTGTCTCTCCATATTGATTTTTTTTTTTTTTTTAATTTGAAAGGTATATCCTGATCTTTGAAAGCACAGAGATCGAAGTGTGACAATTTCCTTTCGGAGGCCTGTGTAACTGACCTAGAACTTGAGTGTTGGAGAGGATCGTTTGCTTTTTCATACAACACTTCTTTTTCAGATGGAGCAACTGAGGCCTGGAAAAGGTGGTTGACTTATGGCCTACGTTTGCCCATTTAGCTTAGAGATGGACCCAGAGCTCAAAGCAAGGTTCCCCGACTTCTAATCCCATGCTTTTCTCAAATTGCCACTCGTGCTTGAAAGGTGCATTAGATTCTCGAAGGAGTTAATTTGCTTTGAAAAACCGAGACGCCTCGTCCCAGAGAGAAGCTAATTCACTTAGATTGTGCTCCATTAATTGCTCCCTGGTTTTCCTCTGCAAGAGATTATGAATTAATATTGAGGAGCAGTGTCGGAGGCATCTTCCCTGTGGTGAGGCTGTCTTCTCTCATAATCACAAGCACTGCATCTTCCTTGAAAAGGAAGAGGTTAATAAACATATATAATTTTGCGGAAGAGGTGTTGTGATCTTGTTATTTCTATTAATATTTTCAATTAATATTTTATTTTGAAATAATAAGCAGAAAATAGCACTTGCTGATTGCCTTCTGCTGTTTAGAAGATGAGCACATAAATGTTAAATGTTACTCTGAAAGACTTGCAGCACTATCTTAAGCCTATATTTTATTTATAGATTAAGCTCAGTATTCTGAACCAGCTTCCACATCTTCCATCTGTTCTGTAATATTTTTTCCATCAAATCAGGAAAAAAAAAAAGCTCAAAAACCTAAAAACAGAATCTTGAAATTTAACTTGAAAAATTCAAAAGCCAAGTCAATATTTTCATGGAGAGATGGCAGCCCTGATGACGTTCTTAAATTTGAGCTATTCTTCCAGACTGAATTTTAGAATTAAGAGATTACCTTTTACTTCCAGGTGTGGAGCAAGTCTTAAGACTCACCACCAAAAGTTCATGTACCTCAATTAGTTTAGGAGGGAATATTGTTATAGGATTTTCCTGATGTCTAATTTTATTTCCTTGGCTAAATGAATCAATTGAAAAAAATTTAGCCTATTATGTTTCTAATGTCTTTTTCCTCTCACTTAAAAAAAAATTCCTGTAAAGCAGTAATATTTAATGTTCCAAGATGATTAGGGCATTGAAGAAAATTTTTATGGGATCAATGCCTTTTTAATTTGATAGTTTAATAACATTTACTGATGGATTTTTGGTGCTATGATCTCATTGGGGTTAACCAGAAGTGACTAATTGCAGCTATCATGAGATGATTGTATCTTTTAAGATTCCTAAAAAGAGGATGGTTTACAGTAGTTCAATGTGTATCAAGGTTATCTCACCTTCTGAATGAATCAGTCTTCTTAAAAATATAACCTGACCTGCAGAGAGTATGTGACTGTACAGGCGCCATTTGAACTGGTGACTGGAACCTTGATTGCCACCTATCTTATCTGTTTTCAAGGGGATCATTCAAGATGGGAAGATCATCTTTATGCCGAACGGCTACATAACACAGTGTCCAAACCTAAATCGCAGTAAGTAGTAACTTAAAGCATTGATGAAATTTAAATATTATATAACTTATCAGAGAAATACATCTGGAAGGATGTACACAAATTATTTGCATTATTGACTTCAGAGATAGTGAGGAGAGTGGAAAAAAAGCTTATTATCTATATGATATAATTCTGTGTTTTGCATTTTTAGAAAAGATTATGTATTTTTATAGAATTAAAATTTGAAGGTAAAAAGGGTTATGTTAGAAGGATCTGTAGATTAACACGGAAATGTATATTTAATATATATATTTATAAAAACTATTCTTGAAAATTCTTGGGTATGGGTTTACTTTTTTATCTTCTATGATACTTCATATTTTTTTTCCAGTAGTCTCTCAATAAAAAGGAAGGTTTAATTTGAATTTTAAAACATCATGTTGCCTTTCTTTTTGGTTAATAGCACTTCTTTCCTATTCCTTTCTTTTTTCTTATTAAAACAGGAAAAGAGCCAGACATGAAATCCTCTGTGATTTCACCCAAATTTCAAAGCAATTCTTAACCAAAAAGCAAAAACCCTCTGCATACTCAAACAACTGCTGTTTTAAATGTCTTTCTTTTATTGGCATAATATCAATATAGATTTTATATTTTCTTTATTGAGCTTGCCCAACCTGTAGTGATTTCTTGAGCCTGGTGCAAGGAATAATGGATTTACAAGAGCTTTTGGCCAAGATGACTGCAAAAGTAGGTATCTACATTTCACTTGTGATGTTTCATTTCTTTCTCTGTCCTATCTGGAATTTAGAGTGATATGCTGTAATAGAAACATTTTTAGCCTTGGCATCTGCTATATGTTACTACAAAAATGGTTTATTCTTACTCACCTATAATAAATGTAACCACTCATGTCTTTGATGCTATTAAGCTGTATCAAAATGTTTACTTGAAAAAATGTTTGGAAGCAGGAGGCATTATGTATCACTGTAGATTCCCTGGGCGTGGAAAAGGAATTTACCCACTGGCTATTAAACTAGTAACACTGTGAGATGATCTATGGTCAGAACCCCTGCTGCTTATAAGCTAATGCGTTTTGGATGTAAAAATAATCGCCAGTAATCAGAAGGTGCAAAATAGCTATTGTTAGGAACAGATTACTATCACATGAAGGCTTTATATCACATTTTAATGTATGATACATTTTAGGACTGATCCTGAGTTAAATAGTAATGGAGGCAAAGTTTTCCTTTCAACACCATCATCAGTTTTATAATTCTACATCATTTCCTGTTCTCCATTGTTCACTTGACAGGCGTCTTTTGAGGACCTGCTGTTTGCCAGGCACTGTGTTAGGCCCAAAGAAGCAATGGTATACAGGGCATGTTTTCTACCCTAGAGATGTTCATGTCAAGTGGCAGAGCCAAGCATGTAAACAGTTAGGGGCTCTGATATATATTCATACACTGTAGACTCATGATGAAAAGCCCTGAGCCTCATGGAAAGAGACACTGAAAAAAATAGAAAAGGTGGCGAATGCTGTTGTTATGATACCAATCAGTTGTGGACTTGAGTTCCGGCCTAGGGCAAAGAAAGAATTAGGTTGGGCCTAAGAGACATTATACTCTGCAAAAGGAAGAATTTTAATAACAGTGAAAATGATACATTAATCCTATTCCACCTGCAGTTAAGACTGCTCTCTTCCTTCAGCGGTGGTGTGTGCAAAAAAATTGGTGGTGGGTAGGTAAGTATTTGAGAGGGTAGACTGTATTTTGGACCCGTAGAATGGTGCTACTGAAGACAATGTTTCTATTTCAAGGAGGTTTTTGGCCAAGCCAAGTCCCCTTTTGCTGGAAAGGAGAGATGGAACACTTTTGTTAGTGAAAGATCGAGATAGAGGCTTGGGATCTGAAGCCTTAGCGTTTCACTTCAGAGCTGAGTGGAATTGTGAAATGCAGGCAATTATTTGCCTTCCCAGCTTGTGGCATACAGGGGCTTTTATTTCATATTGTCTGGAGCAGCTTGATGTCAATGCTGTTAATTACATTTTATCATGCTACCAAGTTTCTGGAACAAGAAACATGCCACTCAGTCTCAGGTGATTGTGGTTCTCCATTCTACAACTTGAAGGATGCCCTTTTCTTTCTCATTCTTTCCCATCACAGGGAATGCCATTTTTCTCTTTTTAGCTGTGCATTATCTAGGAGCCACATTGAGCTCTATTCTCAAAACATTGTTATGTAAAATGGGCATTTGTGAGGCAGAAGATATTTAATTGTGGGCAATAGCAAGCAGAAAATGGTTTAATTCACTTTCTAAACCCCTACCCACTCCTGGTACTTTGGCAGATTTGTATGTCTGTTCCTTCCAAACCTGTATAGAATTATAATTTGAAAGCCGAGTACTTCCATTTTCACTGCATAATTTGAAATCTGTGGTGATCTAGAACAGGAGTGGGCCAACTATTTCTGTAAAGAACCTGCTAGTAAATTTTGGGTTTTGCAAGCCAAGAGTCAAAATTGAGGGCACTATGTATATAATTATTTCACTGAAATATAATAATTATGTTCATTTGAATTATAATTAGTAAAAACTGCAAAAGCCATTCTTAGCTCACAGGTCACACAAAAATAAGTGGTGGGGCTCAATTTGGCCAACTGGCCCTAGTTTACCAATATTTGATCTAAAAGAAGCTGGGAACTCACTCATCCTAGATAATATCTGTCGAACATTTACCATGTGTTAGTTTTAATGCTTATACTTTTTATATTCACTATCACTTTAATCTTTACAACAATCCTGTGAGCTAGGTTTGATTTATTAGCCCGCTTTACAGATGAGAAGTCAGAGTTCCAGGAAGATCTGATAGCTTTTCCTAAGATCATGCATGGCTAAGCTGAGAACTGAGTTTAGATAGTTATAACCTAAAAGTTGAATCATGACCAAGAAAGTTTATGGTTTGAGAAGAGAGGGTTGGAAAGAGAGACAAAAAGTATAAAGAGGGCATGACTGATGGAGAGAAAAATGAAGATGCTACCGGCAGGAGGATGGAGGTATCAGCAAGAAGAATGAGCAAATAAAAAGAGAGGGAAAGAGAAATGCGTGTTTGATCACTTTATTGAGCTGAGCTGAAGTTTTTAGATGATATCTGTTGGGAGTGAAATATGTGAACATACAGCTTGCAGCAACTTTTCAAGGAGAAAGGTGAGGGCAAAAATAGGGCCTTTTAATATACCCCTTTGGGGATGAACTGTTTGTTTTTCTTGGAAATATGTGGGAATTCTTTCAGTGCTGTGTTGACATTATGTCTGCTTCTGCCAGGACTACCCTGGGTCACCTATCTTACATTATCTACGTAAGGATTTTCAGGCCTCACAGATTTTCAGGATCAGACTGCGAAGCCTAGGACAGACCAGGTGAAGTCTCCAGAAATATTTTTTTTTTTTTAAAAATAATGAATGTATTTATTGTTATTTTAGAAATAAGGTCTTACTTGGTCACCCAGGCCGGAGTACTGGGGCACAATGGTAGCTTACTGCAGCTTCAGAATTTTGGGGCTCAAGGCGTCCTCCCTCCTCAGCCTCCCAAAGTGCTGGGATTCCAGGCGTGAGCCACTGCACCAGGTCAGGAGAGGTTTCTTTGAGGTTTCTCAGAAAAGATTCTTTTTATCCTCTAGGCAGTACTAAACTTGAACAGGAAGGCTTTCTTTCTGTGCCTTGTGCAAGCCTCATTTTCCTTTTGTTCACTCAAAACTAAGGGTGCAACATGATGGTGTCCCACCTTTATGCAGGAGTTTCCTCTTGCAGATACCTGTATCCTCCTGCCATCTTTTGAAGATCCTGTTCTCTAATTCTGCCCCCTGTGCAATCATCAAGATGGGAACTCAAGGCTTGTATGTCTCAGCAGGAACCTTTAGGATATAGTTGGCTTTGATGCTCACTTATTTCCTGGGATCTCTGCTGTCATTTTGTTTTGGCCTCTGTGGTTTTCTTCCTTTTGTATCAGCTTTGTGATGACTTTTGAAAGTTGTTCTTTATACCTTGAATACAGCAGTACTTCAGTTGGTTCTATGGGTGAATCCTTCAGGGTATCTAGTCCACCATCTTGGTGGAAGCCAATGTGTAACTCACTCTTTTGGCCAATGGGAGGAGATGGAACCTGAGGATGAAGGGCAAATTGGAAGATAAATATGGTTCCCTCATGCACAGAGGATTCTGTGGCACCAATTAATCCAGACTCAGTCTTTGTCTTTGATTAAATAAGCCTATAGTGGCAAAATTTAGTTGATGGGGTTGGAACTAAGCTTTGGAGGTTTGGTTTGAGTTGTCCAGTTGCTGTGGTTTAGACAGGTCTACAAATCGTGGTCGAGATAGAGAATGGGCTTTGGACTCAGATTGATTTTATTCTGGGTCTCTGTTTTATCACTCCCTTGGATGTTTATAGTCTTGAACAGGTCTTTGGACTTGTTCTAGCCGCCATTTTCCCCACAGGTAAAATGGGGACAATTATTCCTGCCTTTGTAAAGAGCTCATGAGACCAGACAAGTGAGGTTTGCTGCATGGCTCACAAAGGATATTCTGTAAATGATAGCTGTTGTTATTTATACTATTAAACGTAGAAAAAATAGGCAGCCATGAGAAGAAGATGTAACTTTCTTGGTGATTGGAAATCACAAAGTCTGACAGAGGCTGTGAGTTGCTGTCAGGGCCCTAGTCTAGAACTAGATTCTGAGAGTTCCTGGAATGTAACAGGAAGTCCTTACACTTGGGTCCAAGTAGAAGTCCTGGATCCTTCCCAGAGAGCAAGCCCAGTGTATAAGCAGGATAGGAATTGGTAGCCAAAGTCAGGTCAAACTAGACAGAAAGCACTTTTAGGTGACAGAGGCCAGGGTAGATAAGAGCTCTCTTGAAGAATCTTGGCATTTTGGCAAACCCACACTTTTGCAAGGCAGAGAAGATGCGGGACTGCTACCTAAATAAATATTCCTTTTTTTGTTCCCTGACACCTCCCTTAGTGATCCACACCAGTCCACCACGCCCGTGTATTACTCTGGAAGTTTTCCAGGTGGTCTTGATATTGCGGGAACTACCCACCCACTGGGCCAGGGTCAGGGTCTGTCCTGCTCTCAAATCCCACCTGTACTGTAATCCCACTCTGCCATCAAACTCAGAAAGAAGAGATACTGAAGACCGGTAATATCTTGATTACTTCTGTTTAAATTTTTGACAAATCTATATATGCAAATCAAGTAGCACTTGGGGTGGCATTTCAGCTTGTAACATATTTAATTTTGAGGCTTTCATTGTTTCAAGAAGTTCAATAATGATTTTTCAATTAAGCTTAAATGTTTAACAATAGAAGTTTCTTGTTTCTGTCCCCTATAGCAAATGCCAAAATAAATAGTATTTCAAAGCAAAAAAGCAATCCACCACACATCTAATGTACTCAGAAACATTCATTGACCTCCTACTATGAAAATGGCCTTTGCTGTCTGTCTTTGAATGTGTAGAGTTCAGAATAAATGATTCGGTCTGTGGTTGCTTAGATAAATGCATGAACAAAAGAAAGACAGAATAGAGATGTAGATTTGATACTGTATCTATTTTGGATCTGCAGACATTCATGGAGAAAGTGGCAGGTAGTGTAGAAATAGCTTTTGAAAATGAATTTGTATAAATTCAGCATCCTAATACCAATGACAGAAAATGTAATTCATGTTTTGATTCAGAGTTGTTTATCTCCTTTATTGTTGTAAGATTTAGCAGGGGAAAAGAGGAAGGCAAGATTACATATTAAGTGCTTTTGAAAAATTAGCTTTTTGCCTTAATATCTCTTTGCTTTTGTGCCTATCTGATGCACTCTTATTATTACAGAGATTAGGGCTTTCCATTGTTGTCAGAAAAGGCAAAATATTTTAAAAATAAAAACAACATTTAGAAGGGAAATGTAATCAGCCTTGAGAACAGCTTCCTTTATATTAAAACTGACATCTTCCTTGGAACTGAGTTTTGTAGGTGAGCGTAGCTCTACTTTGTGGGACAGTACTAAAAATTGCTAATATTATCCTTAGGCTCCTGGATTTTCAGAAAATGTGAATAGACATTGCCTTTTGGATGATTTAGTCTTTAAGAAGTACCCTTCTTGGAGTGATACAGACACCAGTGTTGTCCCAGATTTTCAGAATAAGGCAGGCACAGTTCCTCTCACAAAGATATTCACTTCTGAGCCACTTTTAGGAGGGATGTAGATTTAGATCAACTCTTTGTTGTTCAATCCAAGACCATACATTTATCACTATTTTTGTGTAGGAAGTACTGAAACTTTAGAAATAAAGATAGTAAGTGATAAGTTGTCATTTCCTTTTTCTTATCTCTGACCTATACAGATGACCCTCTGTATCCATGAGTTGGTTGTACATATGTGGATTCAGCCATCTATGGATGAAAAATATTTGGAAAAAAACCCCCCACAAAGTTGCAGAAGGCAAAATTTGAATTTGCTTTGGGCTGAGAATGATGTAGAATTCACGTGAATGAAGTGATGTGTAGGCATTGTGCTAGATGTAGGTAATCTAGTGATGATTTAAAATATGCAGGGAGATGTGAGCAGGTTACATGCAAATACCACACCATTTTATATAAGGGACTTGAGCTTTTTCAGATTTTGGTATCTGCACGAGGGTTCTAGAAACAATCCCCAGATACTGAGGGATGACTGCTTATGGTCATTTGACCTCACCAAACTCTTAGAAGCGTGTTTTATCTCTGTTTCCTAAAGAATTCCCAAAGGACTTAATTATCGTTGATTTTAGAAACAGTGTAATTAGGCTGGGGTTTTAAATGAGACACATGTTTTGGAAGATTATGCATATTAGAAGTCATAGGAAGCTAATATTTTAGGCAGTCGACTCAGTTCTTTGGGAGCTGATCATGAATTATGTGGTTTGCTAGGATCCTATTTGTTATTTTTTCTGACCTTTGCAACTACCTACAAAAGGCAGAAAAAGGATAGGTTTCCTCGAGAAATAAATGACAATTGCTAAGGTTAAAATTACATGTGGATTCAATTTCCAGAGAGTAGTGCTGTTATGAGGAATTACAAGAAGCACTTATGGAAATAGAGCCATAGTTAATGTAGAAAGACAGTGAAAGTCATTGTTCTCCAGGTTCAACAAGTATACCTAAAATATTGGCTTGAAATTTTCTTCATTGGATCAAAGATTGAATTAGTCTTCTGTATGGGGAAAATACTTAAGACATGGAAGCATAAGTATGATTGAGAAGGAAAACAAACACTATGAGATAAATTTTTAGGGAATGGTATTTGTTTTCCAATCATGGTGGTCTCTCTGTGAGGAAGAAAAAAAGGATAATATCACTACTGATTTGAGTTACTCTTTGGTATGGATGAGACAATAGACATTCCATACCAAAATGCTATGTTTAGGGTTATTTGCTTCATATTTTTGAAGGCAAACTGGAGTAGGCAGCATGAAAAGTCATCAGGCTTGAGGACTTAAACCATGTCAAGTGGAGCTTTCAAGGGAGCCCAGTGGTGCTGAATGTGGTTAGGAGCAGATATAAGGAAAGGGTAACCTCAAATGTCTGAAGAAGAGACTTGCTCAGGATGGGCTACAAGGAAAACCTAAATGTAGCAGGAATAAAAAAGAGAGATTTCACAGCCCAAACCAAGAGAGATGTTTCAAACATCCAAAACTAGCAAAAACAAATGTGGTTCTCCTTAGAAGATACTGTGTCCCTCCCCTGGAGATATGCAGAGGCTAGATGGTCACTTGGATTTTCTTGGGAGGATATTCAAGATTCCATCCCTTTCAAATGGAAGATTCTAAGACTATGATTATTGGTCATGATTAGGTGACATAGGAAAATGAAAAAGGATATTTTACAAAATCCTGATCTTCCTTAGGGGTTTGGTTGCCTCTCTTAATGTTCATCTGAACACCAATGTGAATTCCAGGGCATTTTGTTTGGGGATCCTGAGCTGAGAAGAATCTAGATCCTCTTATGATTTCTTTCTTCTGGCCCCAGTTCTTTAGAATTTTTCATCAGAGAGAAAGCAGGGACTTCCTAGTTTGTAAACCATGACATTCTAGTTAGCATGTGAAGAACACGGAGACGATAGTGGGAGATAAATGTAAGTGCACTGGCGCTCCTGATTAGATCTCCTGTAAACATTGTAATGAGTCCTTGAGAACACATTCATTATGAGTGCTTCTGTGTGGGCTTGAGCTGAAAGTACACATGCTTGTGAACACCCATGAGGTTCCTGAGATACAGTTTAATGCCTCATTTGTTATTCATTAGACCGTGGGAGCCAATATATCTTCAATTTAGAGTGATTCCACCTTATTTTTTAAAAAAATATACTGTTCAGAATCAGTGACCTACTCTGAGCATTTTTTCCCTCATTCCACTTGGATTTTTTTCTTTGCTGCAATTAACTTTGTAAGGACGATGCAATTAAATTACAGAAATTACACCTGGTAACTCTTGTTGCAGCTAAATTATGCAGAGACAAGACTGAGTCAATTGGAAAACTGTCATTGTGAGAAGACCTGTCAAGTGAGTGGACTGCTCTATCGAGACCAAGACTCTTGGGTAGATGGTGACCACTGCAGGAACTGCACATGCAAAGTAAGCTTCTTTGTAAATAGATAAAATAAAAACAGAATTAAGGGGACATATTTACTCATTACAGTGTAATCTAGCTCTTTAATGAGTCATGTTAACTCTAAGAAGTATTACCTTTTCACCTAGCACCCAATGACAATCTGAGAAATTGTGAAATGATACTGGAAATGTGTCATTTCTTGTGTCAATATTTGGAAATATAAAATCTACTTTCCCTTGCCAACACACCTTAATTTGATTTAATATTATTATGAAGTAATGTGCTGTTTGAAGTTTGGTGGTTAGGATATGGAGGAAGCTTTATTCACAACTAGAATAAATTTTAAAAGGGGGAATTTAATTAGTCTCCAGGTATATGTGTTGCATTTTGCAAAGTGTACCCATCACCTGCTTCAGAGAATGGCAAGATATTCCCTCCCTCAGGTCCCCGTTTCTTTCAGGATATGTACCAACTGTCTACTCCTTCATCTATTTCAGAGAATTACAAGAACCCCCTCCAAAAGATTAGTATGTAAACCCTGTCCGGTTGAAATTAGTTGATAAATATCTGAAGAATGCCATTGTTTGTCCAGGAAAATACAAAACAGATTGTTAAAGCCTGAAAAATGATTGACAGGGTCTGCAAATGTGTTGTTTATGTTCTTGTGAAAATAGACTTTTTGTTTTCCGTATAATCTACTTAGCCCATATGGGCAGGTGGGATGAAGTCAGTGATGTATATCAGAAAAGTAATTGAGGTGGCATAGGTTCATTTGGGCTGGAGAAAATACTTTATTTGTGGTCCTGGAGTAGATGGAAATTCCTCATACTGCTTGTTTCCCTGATGAGCATTTTGGGATGAACTGTGAACTTTTTCCACATCAGGAGCTTTCAAAGGATACTTCTGAGATTTTTTCCCCTGTCCATCCTTCCTCAGAGTGGTACCGTGGAATGCCGAAGAATGTCCTGTACTCCTCTCAATTGTTCCCCAGACTCTCTGCCCGTGCACATTGCTGGCCAGTGTTGTAAGGTCTGCCGACGTAAGTACTGACTGAGGGTCAGAGTGGTCCTCTGTGCTTTGAGATTTATTATTTCTTCCCAGTTTTTCTGGACTCAACTGATTGACATGGATGAAATGAAGCATGAACAGTTGATGTAATATTAAATGTATGATAAAAAGTCACACTGTTTTAATCATTTGTGATATAGCAGACACTTAACATGTTATTTCTTTTAAAAACCCTCACATCAACTCTAATTATTTATTCTTTCATTCTATGTAGAAGGTACACATGTTCATGAGGATTAAGTCACTTGTCTAGGATCAAACAACTAGGTGGGTTTGATCTGTAAATTCACAATTCCAAAGCTCCATTGGCTGCAGTCCCCCCATTCTGAATAATCAAGTTAAGAACCAAATTCTGTGTTTTGCCTTTCTAAGGTTTTGGCTAGATTCTCCTGTTATTAAGAGACCTTTGTTAGGAATTTCAGGATGAAATTCAGTGAAAACACTGAAACAATTTCCTTCAGTGTTGGCTTGTCCATGTTATAGAATGGCTTAAAATTCCTTTTTTATTTATATAGCAAAGGGCACTATTTCAAATGAAATAAACATGGAGATATGCAGTAAGAATTAAAGCTGTCACTTAGAATGCTTGGTATGAGTTGTACACTGTGCTGAGGGCCTTAATTTCTATTAACTTAGTGAATTCTCACAGCAACCCTTCAAGTAGGTACTATTATTATCTTTGTTTTACAGAAAGCTTAGGCTTAGGGAAGCTAATTTATCAAGGTAACAAGGCTAGTGAGTGACAAATGTGAAAAATAAAATTAGTTCTGTTGACTAGAAAACCCACAGTCTTTTCATCAAACCATATGTGTTTCTATAGAAAAGGAGAATTCTAGTTAGAAATGTGGCATCCTATGGATAATTTTCAAGATCATTTCTTTACCAAAGGAAACATGCCAACATCAGTAGGCCTTCAATGTTCAGTGGTTTGTCTTTTTGCCAGGAGCAGCATGTCATCTAATATGAGAGCAAAGGTGGAGAGAGCTGGTCTAGTCACAGTAGCCCAAATATTTATTGAACTTTTCATTTATTGAACTTTGGAACCTTCCTTCTTTTCATGGTTGGTTCAGTACACTCATTGCTCTGGAGAGTGTACTTGGAGTTGGTCTAAAGAGAGAAACTTTGTTGTTTCTGTTTCAAGGGTTTTTGGAAGTGGTGTCTGGCAATACAGGCAGCCCAAGTGTACAGATGTTGAATTATAGCTTGATCTTGTGAGGGAGAGATAGCTGTTAGTAGGTAAAGATTTTTTCCCCCACTCTTGATATTCCATCTAACAGAGCAGAGAAAGAAGTTTAAAAATCATTAGAATTTGTTAAAAAATATGAGATGTTTTAATTCATCATTTTGAGTTCCTGGACAGATTGTGAATACTACCTCTTGGAAGCAGTCATTTGGACATGGGTCTAATAGCCCTTTAGCTGCTTGTGTTTTAACCATTTTTTTTTTAGAAGTATGAAAGCACTGTGCTTATTGTTTAACATTTGAAAACACAGAGAATGATAAAGATCAAGATGGGAAATTTATCCATAATACTGTCACTTTGAAATAAACTCTTGAAATTTTAGTGGATTTCATTTGTCTTTTTAAAAAATCATATTTTGTGTAGAGTTGAGGTTGTACTGTACAAACAATTTTGTATCCCACTTCATTGACTTACTATTACTACTTAAATGTGTTACTATGTTTTAAAAAATTCTGTATAAACCTCATTTTAATGAGCTTCATAATTTTCCATTGTTTGGCTGTTGCATAACTTTTTTTTAGCTGTTTCCCAATTGTTGATATCTAGCTTGTTTCCCACTATTATAAATTACTACTCTTCAATATCATGTGTTGTATAGAAAACATATTTTTGTGTATTAGCTTCCAAGGTCAGATGGGATCTGGAGTGTTCAAGGTAGTATGGCTATAAACTATTTTTGTACTATATATTTCCTTAAGATAGAATTGTCCAGAGTAGAATTACTGGTTCAAAGATGAACGCTTTCAAGGCCCTTGGTATATATTGTTAATTTGTCCTCTCACCAGACTTTTATGGGTAGTCATTTTTTAAAATTCTAATTTTCTAATTTTAGGTTTTAAACATTATTTTGGAAAGCTACTCAATTTTACCAAGATTTTGTTACACAGGCCAACTAAAACATCAGTGTGTTTTTTTGCCCCTTGGTATGAAAATCATAGTGATTTAGGTAACACTCATTTTTCTCAGCAGCTCTGATTGGTAGTTTGATGTGCTCAGAGTTTAATAAAGTGGGAATACAAATAAATTATTAAGAACACTATTCTAGAAAAAAATGATATAAGACACCTCTGGTAATTAAAAGGTTGAGAACCTCTGGGCTAGAGGGTTTTCATTTCTTACTAGTTTTTAATAGAAATATGCATCAGGCAGTTATGAGTACGGGTGCCTGGAATAATGATAAAGAAATCCTGCTTGCCTTAGAGGAGCTCACTTTCGAGTTAGAGATGTAGTTTGTAGTGCCCAGAACTGTAAGTACACTGACATTAGGCATGCAGATGGGACACTGTTAGAGCACAGAGGAACTGCCTGGAAAGGGGGGGCACCAGGAGCAGGCCTGGGATACTTCCTGGAGGAAGTAGAGCCAAACAAAATATTTTTAGCTGTTCTAGAAGTTGACCGAGGTGGGTTGAACAGCAGAGTGAAGGAGGAGAGAAGGAGAGTTACTAGAGCAGAGTTCTAACACTAGTTGGTAGAATTTCTGGAAGTTTTAAAATGTTTTCACATCAGGAAAATGATGGAGAATATTTACTCCGGTTGTCCCTTTCAAATATAAGTATGTGAGGTAATGCATATGTTAATTAGTTCAATGTAGACTTCTATAATGCAGGCATATTTCAAAAAATCATGCTGTACACCATAAATATGCACAATACATGTTTTAGAGTATATATTTAATATGGTGGAGTTGAAACTCGTTTTTTAATGTCTGCCAATCTGGATTGTTTTTTGATTGGCTTATATAATCCATTTACATTTAATGTTATTGTGGATATTGTTGGAACCACTGTTCCTGAATGCCATATTTTTCCTTGATTCACATCCTTATTTTGACTTTTTTTTCTCTTTTTTTGGAGAGTTGCCTCAAGTAAATTTCTTATATGTTAATTAAAAAACATTTCCTAAGTTTCTTTTTGGGTTTAGGTAGGGCAGTATTCTAGGAACACTGAATAAAGGTATAGATCTGACTCAAAAAAAAAAAAAAGGAGCCAGTATATAGAAGCAAATTGTTTTGTCTGTTCACTTACTAAGTGTTCATGCCTGTCTCATGACCTCAGGAGTTGCAACACTTATGAATGAGAGCACCTGTTTGGAAATAGAAAGGAGGTTTGTCTAAGTGTCCATAGTAGTGTAGGAAGTGGTGTGGAGTTTCGTCCCTCAAACATTTTTTAGGTGACTGCTCTTTTTAAAGCTTATTTACCACATCTAACTGCACATTAAATTCCCTAGTGAATGGCTTAAACTGAAGTTTCCCAGGATCCTACCCAGACCTAATAAATCAGAATCTCCAGGCAGTGGTGCCCTGAAATGCATATTCTTTTGATAGACAAATTTGAAAACTACCAAAGATAGGAGAGAGAGTGGGAGAAAGATGGGGAAACAATTTTCAGCAATAAAAACAGCATTTGTGGCCGGGTGCAGTGCCTCAGCCTGTAATCCCAGAACTTTGGGAAGCCGAGATGAAAGTATTGCCTAAGCCTGGGGGTTCGAGACCAACCTGGGCAGCTTGGTAAGACCTAGTCTCTACAATAAATCACAAAAACTAGCGAGTGTGGTGGCGTCTGTAGTTCCAGCTATTTGGAAGGCTGAGATGGAAGGATCACCAAAGCCCAGCAGGTTGAGATTGTGGTGGCCATGAGCGTGCCACTGCACTCCAGGCTGGGTGACAAAGAAAGAGAGTGGAAAAAAAAAACCAAAAAATAAAAACAGCATTTACAAAGAACTAGAGGTGGCAGAGGAATAGGGATACAGTGTGTTTTATGGCAACACAGGATTTATGTAAGTGAGAAATAGATATAAAGCTGCAAAAGTGAGTTTGGAATGGATGATGAGGATTACATTCCATTGAAGTCATTCAGGAATCCTTACTGAGTTTCCTCTCCCAAACTGTCATAAACCCCGGGTACAACAGTGGACACATGTATGATTGACTCTGTGTCATGCACTATGCTAAGTCATTTTATGCACATCAATTCATTTAGTTTTTCCAGTAGCCCAAAGTAGTGGGTTACACTATTATCCCCATTTTACAGATGAGGAAGTGAAACATGGAAAGAAGTAAGTTGTCCAAGGTGTCTCGGCTTTGAGGGAGCCCAAATAAAGCCCAGGGAGTCTGCTCTTAACCTGTCTACTCTTCTCATTGCTCTCCAGAGAGATGCATGCATCCTCTCTGGTATAATAGAGTATTTTTTAACAAGAACACTATGTAAGGCACAGAAGCCACACAGAGAAGAGAGTGATTAACTTCATCTGGAATGTGTGCGTATGTTAGGAAAATATCACAGGTTACAGATAATCAGGGTACTGACAAATAAATAGGAGTTTACGAGGTATATAGCATGGATAAGAACAAACCTGCTAGAGGGAATTGCATGTGCAAAATCATGGACATCAACCAGCACTGGACATGGTACTCAAAAGCCAGGTTTTAAAGGAAGTTTGTGGCATAATCAAAGACGTTCTTTTAGAAAGACCACTGCATTAAGAGAGCTGGAGGCAGTGGGGCTGGATATGGGACATGGACGTATTCCAGGTAGAGGTGATGAGGCTTGAGTATATTCTAGGTAGAGGTGATGAAGCTGGCAGACAGTCACTACCTGGGAGAGGCAAAGAAAGAGATGGATGTGAGTGACAGCCAAAGGCCCTGGAGCATGATAGATACTCCATACTCATTGTTTTTCTTGAGACAAATGAATTGGAGAACAGAGCATCTGCAAGGGAGAAGTTGCCAGGTTTTGAACAAGAGCCTGTGGGAGATTCCTAGTGTGATTAATAGAAGTGAGACAGGTGGAGGGAGTAGTTTGGGGAATGTTACATTCCATTTGACATGTTTGAGTTGGAGATGCCTGAGGGACAACTATTTTGATGTAGGTGACTTGCTCATAGAGGTGGTACCTAAAGCCAGTGCTGTGAATTAGCTCACTAAGGGAGGAAGGATCTTTGGGTGTTCAACCCTTCTGATCCGCCACTCTCTTTTAAAGTGTAAGACAGTGTGCTGATTTTGACATTCTAAGCTGCTGAGTGCCAAAGGATGTCTGGAGTGTGTGCAGGATACAAATACCTAAATAAAGACAGAGATACCTCATAGCCACATCTGACAGGGATGTCAAGCTGTACCTGTCAACTGTTTATTCAGTGTGCACCCAAATGGCAATAGTGTTGAATCATTATACTAGAGAAATCAAGGTCAAGTTTGAAGAGCCAGATGTCTGTTGGTACAAAAAGATACAACTGCAGAACTCTTTCTCCATATCCCCAGTTTCTGACATCATGGAGAAGTGTGTGTTGGTGCCAGGTTTCAATTCTGTGGCTAGGCACTGTGAAATAGTCTAGTTTGCATGTCACTAGTGTGTTATGAAGGGCTTTAGGTATCCATTTACATATCTACTCACACTGAAAGCTGCTGAAACGGAGTCCCAAATGCCCTAGCCAAAAGCACCAGAGCTTGACTCACCTTATGCTTGAATTTCCTCAGACATAAAAAATAAGCCTTTTGGTTATCGATCAAGAGTTTAGATAATGAGGACTAATGCCAGGCAGATTTGGGCGGTGGCAGAGAAGGAGGGACACTGTCAGAGAAGAGGAGGTGAGTAAGAGAAAGTGGAAGAAATTCTTGTGACCCCCCCAGTGGCAATCCTTAAAGTTGTCCTCAGACAATGTCATAGTTACATGCATTCAGTACAAGTGCCAAGGCTGCAAGTGGCTGAAGCATGCAGTAACATGTTGATATCACGCACCAGCCCTAAAGCACCCTGCTATGTGAGGACATACAGTTCAGTGAACATTTAATTTTCATTCCAGACTGGTAGATCTGAGGGATGGATGTGTCTCTGTGTGTAGTGTGAATATGTACATAATGAGGCATTCTTATCTCCAGATAGGAGTTCTGGGCTGAGTCCGTCAGAGAGAATGTGAGAAATCAGGCAAATGTCTTAAGACAGGGTAGCAGGTGTGTTAGTACCATTGTGGGAATGGCAAGGGCAAAGGAGGAAGAAAAAGCAGCCCATTTCTTTGCTTCCCAGCCTAGGCCAAGAAACAGATGGCAAGTCTGACAGCAGCACATTTAGCAAAACTGTCACTCTGGAGCAAGCCACCTTGCCAAGTTGGCAGCAGCTGTGTTTGGGAGTGTGGGAATTTATTAGACAGGAATCCCAGGCCTTGGAGGTGTGGTCTTTCTGTGCAAGTACATTGGGAAATCCAGATCATCATTAGGACCAATGAGTCACGGTCCTAATCTAGAAAATTGAGGCATGAAAGATGATTAGGAACAGATTTTTGTTTAATGGAGGGAGACAAGGGTCGATCTAGAAAATTGTATTGATTCACTTTTTTGGGTATCTACTTTTCATGTTTGAAGTTGTAAAGAATAACTCTTATCTGAGATCAGGAACTCTGACTTTTTTTGCTACTGATTAGAGGCTCATTGATTCTAAAACTATGTATTATTACTAACAATAAAGCCCAGAGTGGCACTGGGCTTGGAGTGAAGGGAAATTATGAATAAACATAGTCCCTCCCCTTATGGAGGTGACAGTTAGCAGAGGGAATGTATAATTAATGGGCAATTAAGATACAATGTGATATACACTCTGTTAGGACTAGGTCCAAATTGAGGGCAGTTAACCAGTGTTAGGGGGTCAGGAACACCTTCTAGAGAGAAGTCAGGCCTAAGCCGAAACTGTTGGGTATGTAGTATGAAAGGTTGCCTGTGGAAGGGGCACAGGGTATTCTTGTAGAAGAGAACAGTATTGCAAAACCTGCAAGTGAGAGAGAAAGTATGGCTAGGGCAGATGTGGAGCTGTGGAGGTTTGGGAGAGTGAGTGGAATCGCAGGCATTGGTGAACTATGAAGCTTGGAAGATAAGGAGGAGATATATGAATGGTCTTGTGTGCTGGATTAAGGAACTTAGACTTTATTCTGAGGCATTAGGGACTTATGATGATTTTAAGCAAGGCCTCATATTTGTTCTTAAACATATATATGCCTGACTGTTGTATGGGGAAGGACTGAAGAAAAGTGAAGCTACAACATGGGATAACCAGGAGGTTACGGTAGCACCAAGAAAGGGATGACGAGAGTCTGAATGAAGACAGTGTTGTCTGCGGGCAGAGGGCAGGGAATGGAGATTAGTAGTAGCTTGACTTGAGAAACTTAAGAAGGGAGCATTGCTAGGATTTGGGTACCAATTGCCTATGGGGTTGAGTAAAAGGGAGAGGTTAGAAAAACCCCAGATACCAGGGTACGGTTGCTGGGATGGATGCCATTGCCTTTCACTGAGAGGAAGATACTATCCCGAGGGGAACACATTTGAGTGGGGAGTAGAGTTGGTGCAGGTCAGATTCTGAGGAGAAACAGACTCTGAAATGGAGATCGGAATGTGCTTCATTAGGAAGTGCTCTCAGGATCAGTTCTGGGGTAGGAGAGGAGAGTTGAAGGAAGCAGGATTGTGCAGAAGGAGAGATTGAGGTGTAGTGGTTACAACAAAAACCACAGTCATTCCCCCAGGGTGCTCTGGAGCTGGAATGGACTTTCAGAGTTGTAAATTGTGGGGAAGAGGGGCAAAACTTTGTAACATCTTCATCAACCACTCATGGGATATGCGCTGCCTGGGGAAAGAGACTTCAAATTGACCACAGGGCACGTCTTAGATCAATATTCAGTGGAGAGCTGTTGATTACCAACTGTCTCAGCAGCTGTAGGAATGTGTCCTCTGACCATGGAAGGGGATCTCTACATACTACAGCATCCACTACAGGGGTATGATGAAATATAAACTACATCTCTTGGGTTTCTTCTTCTTATAGCTAAAAAGAAAGGATTGAACCAGTTCATCACTAAGGTTCTCACATACTTGAACATTTCACAAGAATCAGAAGGAAACCATCAAATTTAACTAGCCCATTTTTAACAGATACAGAAATAGAGACTCTGAAAGATGAGGTTGTTGTATAAGACCAACAGTGAGTTAGTGGGAAAGGTCCCTTAGAGTGCATGTTGTTCCTTCTGTTCCTTCTGAGAGCTGGGGCTTGGAGGCTCTTTCCCAGGGCAGAAGAGGGAGTGATCAAGCCTGCGCTTTTTTGTTTCTGTTGAAGCAGCTGGAGAATTTGGTGGAGTCACTTTAGGGTCATATCAAATTGACATACCCTGCACTTGCTTAAAAGTGTGTCAGCAAGTTAAGTCAAAGAACAAGTCCCAGTGGAGTCTAAATTGAGTGGTAGGAGCTCCATTTAAGTTTCTCTTTGAAATTTTCTACAAGGCCTATTTCCACCTCCTGGCCTTCCTGTTAGCCTGTTAAACTCACCTTCCCAATGCAGTCTCTCTAGTGCATTGATCTGGCACTTTGCTGGCTTGACTTGTATTTCTCACTTGTCTCTGAGTGTCTTGGGAACAGAGAGGCTAAGGGCACCCATCTCCAGTGATCACAAGGAAAAAGAAATGGTGTCCTTCCCCCTTGTGGCTGAGGTTCTGATGAATGGAACATATATGAGTCCCTTTTTACACAGCCTTTTTTTTTTTAACAGCTGGATTTTCTAAATCAAATCTACTGTTAATTGTACTCCATGGTGATTGCAAACAGTTCTTCTTTGTTGTAAATTTCCACTACATTAATTTATACTCTAGTTCCTTTGGCAACTGCAACATTGAAATAATTGTATGTTCTATACACAGGGCAAACACAGTCAAGATGAGGCCTGCTGGGGGGATCCTAAGGTTATCCTTCATACAATTCCTGTGTCTTACGTTAGAGACTTGCATTGCTTAGAAACAGGGGATTTAGGTTTCTGTGGATTCTCTTGGAGTTGGACAACACCTCTGAGGCCATTCTGTTACACAGCATGACTGTCTGACCCCATTTTATGTTTTATTACAGCAAAATGCATCTATGGAGGAAAAGTTCTTGCAGAAGGCCAGCGGATTTTAACCAAGAGTTGTCGGGAATGCCGAGTAAGTTTTGACTCTATGATCCTTATCACTTCTGGAAATTGAATAGACAGATGTGTGGGCTTTAGACAGGGTTCCTGAGTGGTTCATACTGGCTAGGATGGTACTCTGAGGGACAGAACCCTCTAGTGGGTTAGGGTATAGGATAGGACCTAGCCACTGTGTGGCTATCTCGTGGTCAGCAGTGGATCAGATAGCCTTGGAAGAAAGGAAGAGTGTGAGAGGAGAATGAGCTAGCAGCTTCTATGAGTCAGGAAGGGTGGCAAATGACCCTGGGAAAGGGTTTTTAGTTGATGTTAGGGGGATCTAGTCTGTGATGCTAGTTGTGACAGTGCCAACTCTACTCCCAGATGGCTAGAAATAATGCTGGAAAATTCCTCTGTCTCCTGCCTGAGCTCTCGCATGTATTTCTTGAAATAATATGTATAGAATTACAACTCATTCAATAATCCTTCAATAAACATGCATTAAACAAATGTTATATGCCAGCATTGTATTGGGTTCTGGATGTACAACAGTGAACAGAGCAAAGTCTCTGTCTTTATAGAACTTGCCATCTAGTATGGAAGACAGACAGTAAAAAAATACACAAATAAGTGTACAATATAATGCCAAATTAATATAAAAAAGTATGAAGTAGGCTGAGGAATAGAGAGGTTTGGGGTGGGACTAAATGGCCTGGGAGGGCCTCTCTGAGGATGTAGTTTTACAACAAAGTCCTGGATAAGGTTTGGGAGCCAGCTAGGCAGTTATTTGGGTAATTGTTTGACTACTAATAGTTTCCTAAATAAATAAGGGTGTAGACACATTCCAAGTGAAAGAAATAGCATTACAGATGCCTAAGGTCATAAAGAGAGCAGGTCTTAAGTAGAGAACTACAAATAATTTGACATGAGTGAAGTTTTACAGTATATATGCAAGAATGAGTAGAGATGAAGCTGGAAAGATAGAACAGGTGAGAAAGGACTTAGTTTGGCCTTCATGTTAATGGAGATGAGGACTCACTGAAAGTGTGTGTGTGTGTGTATGTGTGTGTGTGTGTGTGTGTGTGTATGTGATGAGCAGCTTTGTAATTTCAAAGGTCACTGTGATTGCAGTGGGGAGAGGTAATTGGGGAAGCACTAGGTTAATTTGAATAATTATAAGTAAGAAATGATGAGGTCTTGACCTAAGGAAGTGACAGTGATGACAGAGAGGAAAAGAGATTTGAGAGCTATTTAGAAAATAGAATTGAGTGATTGGGTTCAGGAGAAGTTAATGCACGCAGGAGAAAGAACCCAGATGATGTCCAAGCTCCTGGTGTGGTCACAGGGAATATCTAAATTTCTAATTTTGGTTGCAGGAAGCATAAACTTTCTCTGGCTAATGTAGGAAAAAATGATGATGACATTGGAAGGATATAAGGTGACTCATAGAATCCCTTAAAGGCCAGTAGACCAGACGTAGGATGAGACAGGGACCAAGGAATTCTAGAAGTTACGAGTCAGGAACAATAGGCATGGTATAGTAGAGAGGAGTCTGGAAGGCTCCACACATACATTGCTGCTGTAATGACTGATTTCCAAAATGTCTACTGTCATTGAGTCACTTATACAAGATTTAAATTCTGGAAAGAAAGCATATGTTTAGCAAAGCTTGGGTCATACATATAAGATCTGATTGTTCAGGGTGAGGAAGAATTTGGCCCTTTTAGCTTTTGTGTAGGGACTAGTCACCTGGAATTACCATCCCATTAAGACTTCATGCAACTTGGCGAGACCTCATCTCTACAATAAGTCAAAAAAATTAGCTGGGCATGGCAGCGCATGCCAGTAGTTGCAGCTACTTGGAAGGTTGAGGTGGAAGGATCACCGGAGCCCAGCAGATTGAGGCTGCGGTGGCCGGGAGCAGCCACTGCCCTCCAGCCACTGCCCTCACTGACTGAGTGAGACTCCAACTCAAAAAAAAAAAACAACCTTCCTGCAGCGAGAAAACCATTTCCCAAGAGATACCCATAGAAAGGGAGACTGAATCAGAAGAAACCAAAATGTTATAAATGCTCTTTTCCTTAGATGATGATGTTATACTTCGCTGGTAAAACAGGAGGAATGTACTTTGTGGGTGAGGTAGAAATGGGGAGAAAATGGGGTATCTTTTAGGCATGTTGAGTTTGATAGTATTTTGGCTATCTATTGTTATAAAACACATTTCCTAAAACTTAGTAGCTAAAAACATTATCTTGCTATTGTCTCTCATGGTTGTGTGAATTGTGTGGGCTCAGCTGGGTGGTTCTACATGCAATTGCAATCTGATGGCTGCTGGAGATAGAATCTAATGAAGGCTTGACATGGCTGATGTCCAAGATGGTTTCTTTACTTATATGTCTAGGTTTTCAACTAAGATGAATGGAAGAGAGATTTCTCTCTGTGTCTACCTGTCTCTGTCTCTCCCTCTCTGTCTGTCTCTTTCATTTTTTTGTTCTCTATACATGGCCATTTTGGGTTCCCTGACAGCATGGTGGTCTCAGAAATTTCTCACATAGTGGCTGGCTTCCCCCAGAACAAGCTTCTAAAGACCAAGGTGGAAATGTCAGTGTTTCTTCTCTTATAACCTAGTCTCTGAAGCTGTACAGTATCACTTACTCTACATTCTATTAGTTGTACAAGGCCAGCCCAGATTTATTGTAGAGGAGAACAGTGCAAGGGCATGAATACCAGGAGGTGTGATTCATTAGGAATAGAGGCATCTTTGGAGATCAGTTACCATAATACAACTTTGTGAAATAATTTTCCACTTAAAAACAGTCTGCCCTGGCCAGGTGCGGTGGCTCATGCCTGTAATCCCAGCATTTTGGTAGGAGGATTGCTTGAGCTCTGGAGTTTAAGAATACTTGGCCAACATAGCAAGACTCATCTGTACAAAAAAAATTTTTTAAAAATAGTCGGGCATAGTGGCATAAGCTTGTAGTCCTAGCTACTCAGGAGGCTGAGGTAGAAGGACTGCCTGAGCCCAGGAGGTAGACTATGGTGGGCTCTGATTGTGCCACTGCACTCCAGTCTGGGTGACAGAATGAGACCCCAACTGAACAAACAAGCAAATACCACTTTGCTCTTACACATATACCACGATGAGAATTAACCAACCCACAGGTTAGTGGGTTTTCATGGCTAGAACACATTAGTAATCTGAGAATTCCTTTAATTGGGTGAAAATCTACCTTCCTGTAACTTCTACCCAGTGACTTTACTTCTGCCCTCTAAAGGATAAGAAGGTGAGTCTAATTATTCTTACAATGTAGCATTGCGGTTGAAAGGCCAACATCTGCAGCGGTTGAAAGGCCAACATCTGCAGTCAGATGGATTTGGGTTTAAAACTTGAAATTTTACCTAGTTGTTGGTAAAGTTCAGAGTTCCTTGTGTTCTTTTCCCCCATGGGATTCTGATAAGAGCTGGGTTGGAGAACACCACTTTAGATTAGGAAGCCAAGGTAAGGATTTTTACTTCCTCCTTCATGGTGTTTTCCCTCTTCCCACCCTACCCACTGCAACACAAGAAAAGACAATTGCAGGCATAATCACCTGGACTAGAGGAACGTGAATGAGGCCAACTTCAGTCAGAACATGTTTCTTGGTGGTCTCTCTGCATCCATGGGTGCTGGCTGTAGAGGCTCTTCAATCTGTGACGGGGGCAGGACTTTATAATCTCTTGACCCACAAGGAAGCTTCCAGGCCTGGAAGTGGGGGAGCAGGTAGAGTGGTCCATAACTTTTGGCCAGCACAATACCACATTGGGAAGTTGGGTGGATTAAGAATTTAGGACAGAGCTTGGTACAGTCAGTTCTCAGTAAATGTGAGCTATTCTTGTTATTATACATAAACACACATGTCCTTCTTGAATATAAGACAGATACCATGTTCTCTGTAAATTGTTTCAGGTCTAGGGGAGGAAAAATGATTTGGATTCTAAAACCTTTGCTTTTCTCTTCTACCTCAGGGCAAGCTGGGATGATTAAAGGCAATTTTATCCACTTTGCTGATGGTCCCAGAGCCAGGCATGCGTCTGTCACTTACACCTAGCAACCCCTTTTCCATTTTGAGCTGAAGCAGTGGTATGACTCAGTTATTATCAGAGAGGATTGAGGCAGACACTATCTGAAGCCTATAGCAAATGTGGGCATGGATTTAAATGCCAGTTTATTTAGATAATACTTACCACTGCTACTGGCACATTGTAGTTGCTTTACACACTTGGATTCATCTCATACTGTTTTTGTTTTATTTTTATAATTTAGGAAGAAGAAGTTGGGGCACACAGATTATTCTCTTTGTACAAGTGATGTGTGCACAAGTACATGTGAATCATTTCATCTTCTGTTAAAAAGTCATTACTTTTAAAATTTATTGTCTTTCTACAGTTATTTACTATTTACTTTGTATACAGAGAGAAGGGCCATTGCCAATGATATTTAAAATTTCTTGAGTAATTATTATTTTCTTGGCACTCTTTTTTTTTTTTGAGTTAGGCTGGAGTGCAGTGGCGACTTACTGGGCTCAGGCGATCCTTCCGCCTCAGCCTTCCAAGTAGCTAGAACTACAGACGCACACTGCCACGCCTGGCTAATTTTTGATTTATTGTAGAGACGATGAGTTCTTGCCAAGTTACCTAGGCTGGTCTCAAACCTGCGGGCTCAGGCAATCCACTTGCCTCAGCCTCCCAAAGTGCTGGGATTACAGGCTGAGTCTAGGCACTATTTAAAGTATTTTAAACATATTATCTCATTTAAAACTCATAATAACTCTGTGAAGAAGGAACTATACAGATGTGGAAATTGAGGCACACAAGAGCAAACTACATAGCCATATAGCTAGTGAGTGAGCTGGCTAGGATCAGAATCTGTGTGGTCTGGCTCCGTCACCTCCTCTCTTAGCCTTTCTGCGGCCACTCCTGAAATTGTTGGAAAGAACTCTCATTTCTGAGTGTTAGAGGGGTAGATTCACAAAGATTGAACGATCACTTTTCAGTCTATACGAGAATTCCAAATTGGTCAGGCTATGGCCCATTGATTCCCTTGATAAAGGTAGCATTTATAAAGGTCCATAGAAGAGCTTTGGGACATATTTAATGCCTGCTGTTGGCAGGGAGAGAGGGTGTTGGGTGCAGGATAAAAGGGCCCTGGTTTCTTTCAGGCAGCCTCTCCCAAGATTTACCCTTATGCGCTATGAAATCTGTTTAAATTAGTTTTTTTTTCTTTTAGACACCCAACATGTTATTATGTAAGTACCATCCTTGGGAGAATTGAGGACATAATTGCTCGAATAATTTTCTGTGTTCTATCATTCAGATGATGATTCTCAGTTGACAAAAGGCTGCCTGGAGATTTATCTACTTCCATTTTCCTGAGATCATCTTAAAGTTTCAGCAATCCCAGTTAGACAAGAAACAAACTGTTGTATCAAATATTTTCACCTGATATCTCCAAAAGTTTAACGTATGTTTTTCTATCAGGATGAATGAACTCTCTTAGTGGTCTTTTTTAATTTTGCCCAAATTATTGTTCTGTTACATAGCCACATAGCTAGTGAGTGAGCTGGCTGTGATCAGACCCTATGTGGTTTGGCTCCGTCAACAATTTCTTTAGTCCATCAACAATTTTTGACTTGAAGATGTGAGTTTTATATGTTAGGGATTCAGGTTGATGCACAGTGATTAGTGCAGAACTTGAAAGTGTTTACATTTGACCAATGACATGGAGACAGTAACTCTAAATGAGAAAGAATGAAAAAATTGTATTTTTCCACCAATGCTGAGCTCAAGGGGTCATAAAGCAGCATACCGTAATCAGGAGAGTTTAAAATTGTTAATCATCAGATACTTCTTACTAGAGATAGTTTTGAAAATACAGTTATAAAAGGTTTATACCTAATTATGTAGCTGGACTAAATGAATTTTGTGGCACTTATGCAATGGTAATCATAGTTCATATTATTTTCAAATTCATGCAAAAGTTTGTCTCTATTTAAACATTTAGAATTATGATCTTACTCATTAAATATGTTAAATAGGTTGATTGGAATTGTTGACTGATTTAATCAGCAGTCAAAGCAAGCCCTTTTTATGAAAAGAGAAATATCATAAGTGATTATTTTAAAAAGCCTTCTATAGCATTTAAAAATTTATTTTTATTTTTATTTTTATTTTTTTGAGTTGGAGTCTCACTCTGTCACCCAGACT